CGGGGACCGTCGCGAACGTGCGAACCTTCCCTCGGAAACACGGCTAAGGGGCCGAGCGAAAGTCTCACCGCCCACGGAGACGCAACGCGAGCGCGGTCGTCGCCCGCGCCGAGCGCCGGCTCCGGAAACGCCGGGGAGTCCCTGAGTCCTCCCGGGGTGAGCGGCGGGAGTGGGGAGAGCGGGGTGGGGGGGCACGCAGGAGGGCCGGGAACGGGCTGATTCATTGCGGCGGTGCCCCGAGGCCCGGAGGACGGGGCCGGGCTTTATCCCCAGGGTCTCGCAGTGGAAGCCCAGGTAGGAGCAAGCGCCCCCCCCATCCCTGCTCGCTGTGAGGGGGGGGAGAGCTCGGGAGAAACCGCAGACCCCGCACCCAGCCGGAGGAGAGCGCGCACGTGCGCCCCGGCCCTCCGCCCGCGCCCCGCACGGCGTCCGCGCCCCGCACCTCCGCGGCGGCTGCGCGCGCTCGGCGGGGGGAGGGGAGGGGAGGGGAGGGGGATCGAAGTCCCAGAACCGACTCCCGCCCTGCTGGTGGCAGCACCGCCCCCCCCCCGCCCCGGAGGAGCGACGGGACCCCCGGGCCACGCACGACCCGCGTGCCCCCGCACCTACGGGGTGCCAGGTCCTGGATCCGGTGCTGGAGCGCTGGTGCCCGTCCTCAGGGTCCACCTGAGCATCGGGGAGTTCACAGCGTGGTGTGTGTGTGTGGAGGGGGGAGATGCAGAGGTCGGGGAGGTCAGGGGTCACACCCCCGCCTCTCATCACTGTCAACGCTGGCCCCGCCCCTTCCAGCGCAGAACCCCCCCAGGGTCACGACCTGTCAGCTGAAGACCAGGCTCTGAGAACCCGACCCACCGCGGCAACCCCGGAGTGTGAAGCCCGGGTCTGTGCACCATCTGCCCGTGTGACACCTCAGCAAATCTCTGTCTGGGGGGAATTTATGCTCTGCCTCTTCCCATTGCCTAGGTCCAACTTGCTCTTTCTGAAAGGAGGCCCAGAACCCCCCCCAACCGGGAGGGGATGCAAAGAATTAAGGGGAGGCCTGTCCCAATCAGAGAAAAGCCAAGCTCCCCGTGGAAAGCGGGTAGGAGCCCTCTCCATTGTTTCTCTCAAACTCCAGTAACTGGAACCCAGGGAAGGGTGGTTTGTAAAGAACCAGCTGACAGCTGAATAATAGGAATTACCAGGCAGGCTGCCCTGGGGTTACTGAGGTTTGTAACTCAACCCCCAAAGAGGGGCTAGATTAGAAACTGATTTATGGGTAAGGTGAGGGTCTAGCTGAAGAGAGCCTGGGGTGCTCACCTCTTCACTCCCTCCAGGAGAGACCCATGTGTGTAAGAAAGCTGGGGGCGCTTCCCCCTGTGAACTTACCCTAACAGGGAATTTATCTCTCTGTGCATCATTCCATCTGTCAGAAAAAAAAATAGTTTCTCACGTCTGAGTTTGGACAGTGTGTGTGAGTGAGACAGACACAGAGAGATGGACACACGGAGCAGACAGATTGGGTTCTACTAACTTTCAGTCAGTGAGTTCTCTACACACCAATCACTGATGCAGTGAGGTTTAAGTAGGAGCAGGGTGCCAGTGGCTCACACCTATAACCCTTGCTACTCAGCAGGCTGGGATCTGAGGGCTGAGATTCAAAGTCAACCTGGGCAGAAAATTCTCTGGAACTCCACCAAAAAGCTGGAAGTGGAGGCGTGGCTAGCTTTGAGTATAAAAGCTCAGGGACAGTGCCAGGCCCTGAGTTTAAGCCCTAGTATCAGCACAAAACAAATAAAGGAACAAATATGGGGTTCTCACCCCTGCCCCATCCATACCACACTTTACGTCTTCTCTGCCCCCACAACCAGAAGGTAAAGCCAGATGCAGCCTAGTGAGGTGTATTCTAGCCTCTGCCAGTTCCAAACACTCACCCCTCAGCCACTGCCACCACCTGGGACAGAATCTATTGTGTCACCCACAGGAAGTGGCCTAGCCTCCAGGCGTCAGCTCTGGGGCACATTTTCAGTTCCTACTTCTGTCCTTGCCTACGTGCAACAGGCTGCCCTATCTTCTAGGCCTGGCCTGGCCCTGTGGGTTTGTGCTCACATGCATGACTGAACAGGACTACAGGACTCTCACTTGGATGGGATTTGTATGGAGGTAAATGAGGCCCCTCTTCCCTTTCCCGAACACTCCCCAGTGGGTGGGTAGAGGGGATCTGGCTCAAGCAACTTGTCTCCGGAGAAAATCTTCTTGGATTGCACGGGAGACAGTCAGGGAAGGGAGTGCTGGACAGCCACCCCATCTCACATCCTTCAGATTCTCATCTCCAATTAACCAGCCAAAAGCTGGAAGGAGAGATATGGCTTGAGCAGTGGCGCATCTGTGTGATATCATCCGTGTCCAGTGGGCTGAACTCATTGACTGTCCTGCCTCAGCCTCCTGGGAGCTGGAATTCCAGGCACGTGCCATCATGTTGCCAAAATAGTCCCTATTTTGGTCAAAGTCATCTCAGCTGTAGAAGCTGCATCCCTTGAAGTTCTCATCCCCATTTGAACATGGTGACATCGTGAATGTCAGTACAAATGGGGTTATCTGTCACCCGAAGAGACATCTACACTCGACTGGCAGTGCTGTCTGGATCTCTTCCAGCTACCTGCTTGTTTTTTGCACGTCTGATTCATTCTACTTGTTGGATGGGTTAAAGGGCATCTGGATCCATGATTTAAATAAAGATCACAATGTTCTCTTAGGACCAGCCAAGCCTTATGTTTACCAATACTGGTTTATTTGTCTAAAAACGGTTGAATTCAATGTGAAACTAGAGAGTGACAGTCACTTCAAGCTTTTTGGTCATTTTTAAGAAATGGGAAGATCTCAACAATGCTGACTATCTGCCCCTCACCCCAGGTCTGCCCAGAGTATGAGGTCACACCAGATTTCATGGACTCCTATGGTTCTCTGAGGCCATGTGAGCTTTTGATTAAAAAGCAAGAAAAAACAAAAAAAAGCCCACAAGTAAATACCAAAATCAATCCTGGCTTTCACTACAGGAAAAACAAACAAAAAAAAGTACCAGGTGCCAGTGGTTCACACCTATAATCCTAGCTACTCTGAAGGCTGAGATCTGAGGATTGAAGTCAGCCCTGGTAGGAAAGCTCCTGAGACTCTTCAATTAACCACCAAAAACCTAAATGTAGAGCGTGGTTCAAGTAGTAGAGTGCAAACCTTGAGCAGGGACAAGATGAAGGCCCTGAGTTCAAGCCCCAGTATTGGCACATGCAAACACACATTCAAAGAAGAGCTAGAAGCCGGGCGCCAGTGGCTCACGCCTGTAATCCTAGCTATTCAGAAGGCTGAGATCTCAGGATCACGGTTCAAAGCCAGCCTGGCAGGAAAGTCCATGAGACTCTTATTTCCAATAAAACCATTAGAAACCTGGAAGTGGCGCTGTGGCTCAAGCGGTAGAGCGCTCGCCTTGAACTGAAGAGTACAGGGACAGTGCCAGGCCCAGAGTTCAAGCCCTACGACTGACAATCTGCCTAGTAAACATGAGGCCCTGAGTTCAAACCTAAGTACTGCCAAAAAAAAAAAAGAGAGAGACAGAGACAGAGAAGAAAAACTGGTAACAAACATACAAGTTTTTAGCATGAAGCCAACCATGTAAATGCTTAGGAAATAACAGTTTCCCTTCCTTTTCCCCAAAAGGAAGGAGTCAGGGTTGTGACTGGTTAGCTGCCCGCCTCTGATCTGACTACTCTCCACTCAGTGACTCAGGGTCTATGTTTTAGAACTATTGCTAATTAAAAACAGGATAAGATTGGTAGGTTAACATGTCTCAGCCAGGGCTGCAGTCAGTGTATGGTTGAATCCACTTGCAGTCAGAATTTGCATTTCCACTATGTGACTTAAGATATTGACTCAAACACCTAAGTCAAAGATAAGAACATTTAAATGAAGTTCATTTAAATTCTTTTCTTGTTTGTTTGGTTTTGTTTTTGTTGGTCTGGGTGCTGTCCCTCAGCTCTTCAGCTCAAGGCTAGTGCTCTACTACTTGAACCACAGCACCACTTGTGGTTTTCTGGTGGTTTATTGGAGGTAAAAGTCTCACAGCCTTTCCTGGCCAGACTGGCTTTGATCCTCATATCTCAGCCTCCTGAGTAGCTAGGATTACAGGCGTGAGCTACCAGCTGGGCTTTTTGTTTGTTTGGTTGGTTTTTGTTGTTGTTGTTGTTGGTTATAAGGTTTGAACTGGGCCTAGGTATTGTCCCTGAGCTCTTTTACTCCAGGCTAGCGCTCTACCACTTTGAGCCACAGTTCCACTTCCAGCTTTTTGGTGGCTAGTAAGAGATAAGAGTCTCAGAGCATTTCCTGCTGATGAGTCTTTGAACTGCTTTTCTCAGATCTCAGCCTCCTGAGTAGCTAGGATTATAGGTATGAGCCACCAGCGCCCAGCTTTCATTTAAATTCTTGTCAGATGACAAAATGACCACAAATGTACTTGCAGAGGTAGTTGGCTTTTATTTGTGATTGCTGAATTCTACAAAAGAGAAGAAGAGCTCCTATCAGCTCATAACAGAACCCTGAGTTTTGTAAGGGAAATAAAATGGGTGTGTGTGGTGGGGGTGGGAGGAATGGATTAGTTAATGTCTGGCTACTTGACTCAGATAGAATTTCCTGTTTTCAGCAAATATTGATCTGTTTGGGGCTCTGTCTGCTTTCTTAAGGTCTCAGGTAGATTATGTGGATATAGCAGGACTGACTCCATTTTGGTGTTGCCTGGTCTGTAGGGCTTAGTGCAGGAGCTCATTCCAAAACAATGGCCTCCTGTGATTTTTGACACTTTAAAATTATGATCAAAACTAAGATGACCATTCTGTGACCACTGTTTCATGAGCTATATCTGTTCCCAAGAATTGGGGCTTTCTTTCAGGCTTTCACTTTTAGATTTGGGCACATTTCTCTAATTTCTCAGAAGAGGCAGGGCTGAATTTCTATATGAAAGAAAAAAGAGAAGTAGAGAGAAGATGAGTTGTCTTTGTTTTTTTCTGGTCCTGGGGCTTGAACTCAGGGCCTGGGCACTGTCCCTGAGCTTTTGTGCTCAAGGCTGGCACTCTGCCACTTGAGCCATAGATCCACTTCTGGCTTTTTGTGGTTAAAGATAAGAGTCTCATGAACTTTCCTTCCCTGGCTAGCTTTGAACTGTGATCCTCAGATCTCAGCTTCCTGAGTAGCTAGGATGACAGGTGTAATACCCATGTAAAGTTGTTGACTTTAAAAAGGAAATCAGGGGCTGGGAAGGTGGCTCAGTGGTAGAGCGCTTGCCTTGCATGCCTGAGGCCCTGGGTTTGATTCCTCAGCACCATATAAGCAAAAAAGAAAAAAGCCAGAAGTGGCGCTGTGGCTCAAGTGGTAGAGCACTAGCCTTGAGCTGAAGCGCTGGGGGACAGCGCCCAGGCCCAGAGTAAAAACCCTACAACTGACAAAAGAATAAAACAAAACCAAAAAAGGAAATCATCTCATACTTCCTATCTCCCTGGCCCCCTGGAACCTCCACATTCCCAGCCTAGGAATGGGAATAAAACAACACTGCAAATCTGGGGGATAGCCACCGAGATGATGATCATGATGATGCCGAGCCTAGTTGCATATATTTGCATACTGTTAGACACAAACCCCAGGGATGAATTAATTGGGGTTCCCACAAATGATCACATTTAACCCCAGAATTGCATGAATCGCAGGTGGCAGAGCCACAAGACACGGTGTACCCCAGAAGTACCTATGAGGGCAAGGCCCACCCACCCAAAAGTACCTGCACAGCAGCCGCAGCTGGGTAGGACTGCAGGAGCATGCCAGCCGCACGGGGCTTTGTGCGGAAATCAGCAAGAGGGCAGTCAGACCAGACGGGCAGATCTCCGGGAGTGTGGGGGGACTTGGCCCTGTTCCATTACACCTGCTTTTAAAGTATCCCATCAGAGTTTCAGGCTTGTTTTCTTCCCATGTCTACATAGTCCTTTGTTCTCTGGCCATTGCTGACCAGCCTCCAGGACACAGCCAGACAGATTGTTCTAAAGTTTGGAACCCTCCCTCCTCCTCCCCTCTCTACAGCCAAACACCTCCCTGCATCCAATAAACTGTCACTCAGAGCTCTGCCCCAGAAGCCAAGCAGCGCATGGAGGAAATGGGAGGGCACAGTATGTGTGGCAGTATCCACAGCTGGCGGGAGCCTGGCGGTGGGGTGAGAGGGAAGTCTGGCCTGCCCTGACCTCTGGCCTCAAATTCTACTCTCAAGGAGCTCTGCAGCCTTTGAATCTACTAGTGTCCCCAGGGTGGAGTGGAAGTGTGGGCAAGCTCTCTGCAGCCCAATTCATGCTCAGGCCAGACTCACCCAGACGGGCATTGCCGAGGTCACCTGCTCTCTTCATAGGACTCTCCACGGGGATAGGACAGATGAATTGGCCAGAGAACAGAGAATAGTCTGGAAATGATTCTCTTTGGAAATGGAGAGGATTAAAAAATAGATCATAACTGGCGGCTAAAACCCTGCCTAGGTGTGGTAACGTTCCTAATGTATCTGCAAGATGAGTTCAATCCTCCCAGTCAATGACAATCCAGAGCCCAAACTGCTTGCACACGTGTAATCCCAGCTACTCAGGAAGCTGAGATCGAGGATCTCCATTTGAAGCCAGCCTGAGCAGGATGCCTGTGAGACTCTTATCTCTAAGCACCAAAAAGCCAGAAGTAGAGCTGTGGCTCAAGTGGAAGAGTGCTAGCCTTGTGCAAAAAAAGCTTAGTGAGGCCGGGCGCTGGTGGCTCATGCCTGTAATCCTAGCTACTCAGGAGGCTGAGATCTGAGGATCGCGGTTCAAAGCCAGCCCAGGCAGGAGAGACCGTGAGACTCCTATCTCCAAAAAACCACCAGAAAACTGGAAGTGGCGCTGTGGCTTAAGTGGTAGAGCACCAGCCTTGAGCTGAAGAGCTGAGGGACAGCGCCCAGGCCCAGAGTTCAAGCCCCACGACGGGACCCCAAAAAAAAAAAAAAGATAAGGGAAAGTCAGACACCGGTGACTCACGCCTGTAATCCTAACTACTCAGGAGGTTTAGATCTGAGGAACACAGTTCAAAGCCAGCCAGGGCAGGAAAGTCTGTGAAACTCTTATCTCCAATAAACTACCAGAAAACCATAAGTGGCGCTGTGGCTCAAGTGGTAGAGCGCTAACCTTGAGCTGAAGAACTGAGGGACAGCGCCCAGGCCCAGAGTTCAAGCCCCACTACCGAAAAGGGGGGGAAAAGAGGGGAGAGGGATTTCAGAGAGGAAGAGAAAACTGGGAAGGATAGAGAGACTTTATTCTAAGGCAGTATCTGAGGCTATTCAGTTTCCTTTCTTTCAGAGTGCTTAGTATGCTGACAGTCATACTCTGGGGTTTCATCTTCTGAACACCAACAAAAGGCATACCCTTTTTGAAGGAAGTTATTTTTTTAACAGTATATTTTCACTCTACACACTAGATGTCAGTCTGAACAGTACCTGTAAGCTAGTTAGAAATGTAGATCTAGCCGGGCGCTGGTGGCTCATGCCTGGCTGCTCAGGAGGCTGAGATCTGGGATCACTGGTCAAAACCAGCCCAGGCAGGAAAGTCTGTGAGACTCTTACCTACAATAAACTGCTCAAAAAAGCTGCAAGTGGTACTGTGGCTCAAGTGGTAGATTGCTAGCTTTGAGCAAAAGAAACTCAGGGTCAGCACCTAGG